TTGCAAAGCTTTTATACTCGGATGTAATATATAAAACTCTATTCGGCCTGTGTGTCCACTATTTTGGAGGATTCATTTGAATTGGTTACATGTAGTCGTATTATGAAGAAATGGTTCCGCAGTAAGTGCCGAAGATGAAGAAGTTTCGTATATTTAAAATCTTTATACTGATCGATCTGTACGAAGGCACTGGATAAAAAATTTTTAAGAAACCCTTTGTAATTTATAAGCTTAGAAATAATGTTTATTAAATAAAGAAAATAATAATAATAATGAGAATATTAATAATTATATATAGAAATTTATCAGCACAAATGCTAATATCAGTGAACCCATAACAGAGAAACCAAAAGCTTTTATAAAAATTCCTCTCTCAGTAAAGTGATGTACTTCCTCTCTAGGATGGATTTTATCTCTCAGCTCAGTTTACATTTCGCTCTCAAGGGAAAAGCTTGTGATGGAACACGCACGGACAATAACAGATTTGCCGTTTGAGGCCCTCGATCTGATATTCACTTACCTTTTAAATCTACCGAATAAAGTAAGCTTGGCTGAGGCTCATGATAAGTTGGGAAATGCATTTGCCTTACACAGTCGCAATAAGTTCAGGAAACTCTGCTGTGACCATAGGCTAAGAACCGAATCTTGGTTGATTCTCATAAGAGAATGTGGGTCCTCAGTTGAAGAATTCGACTGCTGTAAGCTTGGTACATCTTGGAATGGCCTCATAGGTCAGGCTGTGATAGAGCATTGCTGCAACCTGGAATCAGTGTCACTTAGAATAAATAGAAATAACCAAGAAAGCATCCGGAATTTTCTTCTGCAACTGAAGAACTTGCTGATATCAGTCACCTTGGAACAAGAAAACGATTTCCTTCCAGCAATCTTATGCGCTGTTAAGGATTTGCCTAATCTAAAGAGATTTTCCTTTAAGGGAAATATTGACGGGAACGGTAAGTGAATAAACTTTATCTTTTGGTAAAAAAGAAAAATAAAGTAAATATATTCATCTGCGTTTTTAATATTTTTAAATCCATTGCTTAAAAATATTTTGCTTGCTATGTCATAAAGATTTATTTCTAGTTTATCAGATCGGTAAAATGGTTGCCGTGGAGAGTCTGACAATCGAAAACATGTTTTACGGAGAACAACCTGCTGTTAACATCATCCTGCTTTGTGAGTCTACAAGGAATCTTCGACTCTTAAAATTAAAAAAGATCAAAACGTGGCTACCAGAACATTTCAATTCGAGAGTGTGGTACGATTTGGAATTCCTTTCACTGCATCAGTGCGACTTCTCCGCTGGACTGCCAGAAAGCCCTAATCTCAAGCACTTAAACTTTTATTATTGCAAAGGCCCTGTCAAAGACTATTTTCTGAAGTTCATTAGAAAATATGAAAACGGCTATCCGACCACAGATCATGGGAACGAATTCAACCAATAGAAAGTTTCCAAAATGATTTAATAATCTAAGCATATAAGCGAATCTCTAATATTCCCAGATTTCGTATCTTGATGACAATGCCGTTGCATCGGTATACACAAATAGAGCTGTAAACAACTCAACGTTTTGGGAATCAATTCTTTTCGATTAAATTCTTGAAAATATCGATTTAATCAATTTCAAATCGAAAAAGGAAAAAAAAATTTAATGAAAAAGTCATATTTTGCTTAAAAAGTGGTAAGGAAAACACCAAATTTACAGTTGCAAGCAAAAGTAAAATTCGGTATAAAATTTGTCTGAGATCAATGTTTTTGTTTATTTATTTAAAACCCATTGGTTTTCATTTGTGAGTACAAGCTTGTCTACGTTTTTGGGTTTCAAGGACGTGCTACGGTCGGTGACTACGCATCCACCGCGGACAACAATCTGTAAATTATTTATTTGGAAAACGAACACTGTAAAAAACCGGATAAGTTCAGACCAGCCATAAAAAACACAAAAAGACATTAACTAAAATTTAATCACAGGTACTAATAAAAAAACTAAACAGATAAAAATCAATTTGTAACTTCAACAGGTATTTACATGAATATACTAAAGAAAGTGCAAATATTTTTTGGAATTTTCGTGTCGTTATGCTTATCGCATTAAACAGTTATAAGTTTGTCAGTCTTATTGAAAGTGCCTACAAATGAAACTTTTTTTCATTCTTAGGAACCTCCCCTTCGGTGACTACCCGCAGTATTTATATAACATAATATACTATATATGTATATATAAAAGTCACACATATATCACAATTTAGATAAATCCTTCTCCCATAAAAGAAAACCTTTAAAAACATAAAAAAAAATTTAAAATTTAACTGCTTAAAAAAGGACTTCAAGCTTAATTTCTAGAGAGTTACTAGCTAGAGCTGCCAAGTATAAATGAACAGAGGTGTCATCTTTACTCAGTTTTTCAAATTTTCAATAAATTTTCCTAATTTTTAATTTTAAAGAATTTTCCTCACTTATGATTTCTAAACACTCCCGGAGCCCCCTTGAACACGAACAAAAAATTTAAGCAAAATCGGTCCAGCCGTTTACGATTCTATAGCAAACTTTACATTCATTTATATATTTATTATTTATATATAATATATATTTATTATATGTATATTTTTTAGTACAACAATCTTTCCTATCATCGCTGGTGTGCATTGTCAGTGAACTCTAAACGAAGAGACAAAAAGCTCTTTCAAAATTCCTCTCTCAGTGTTTGGTGAGGCATACTTCTCTTAGCGCCACACGAAACAATTCTCAGTTCGCATTCCGCTCTCGACGGCGAAGCTTGTAATGGAAAATCCACGGACCATAATTGATTTGCCGTTCGAAGTGCTCGATCTGATATTCAAAGAACTGCAGTGCTTGAAAGATAAAGTGAACCTGGCACAGACTCATGACAGGCTGGGAAAAGCTTTTGCCTTTCACAGTCGCAATGAGTTCAGGACTCTTACGCTCAGTACCGCGATAGCTGACGAATCATGGGCCTTTCTTGTGCAAGAATGTGGCACTTCAATTGAGGAATTAGATTGCGAAAGAGCGAGCTCGCACTGGCATGAGTTTATAGCCGATTCGATTGTGAAGCACTGCCTCAATCTGAAATCGGTATCAACTGAATTTTCCGAGGATAATAGTGCCAGCATTATGTCTTTTTTAGGAAAGATTAAAAATTCTCTACTAGCGCTTAAATTAATGCAACGTTATTCACGTGAAAATGAACTTTCTTCAGAAATCTTGAAAGTATTGTGTGAAATTTCCCAATTAAAACGGTTAAGCTTGTGTTATCTATATCCTGACGAAAATGGTAAGTTATTTCCTAATTAAAAATATTGAAAATCTCAGAAACTTTAAGTGCTCTTTCCATTTAATATACAAAACTCGATAAAAATTTTATTAAAATAGTTACAACAGGAATATAATATTAACAAGAAACCTCAATAAATTCAAAAATAGCAAATGCATGTAGTTTAGCTTGTAGAAATAAATTTTTTTTTAGTGCACTATATACAGACGTGTGTCGCTCTGGAAAAGCTGAAACTCGATAATTACGGTATGTTAGAGAGACATACTGTCAACCTACAACAGATTTGTGCTCCACTTAAGAATCTCCGTGAATTAAGTGTGAGTAATTTCGAAATTCTGCCGTTTGAGGATTCAAATTCATCTATATGGGCCAGGTTGGAAACCCTGGAATTGATTCAATGCGACTACCCCGAAATACCTTATTGCCCACAACTTAAAAGCTTGAATATTTATTACACCTTCCATTGTTTCATCGACGATTACGGGTTGGAATTAATCCTAAAAAATGGAAGAAATCTCGAAACATTGTACGAGGAATGCGATCCACCACTCGATGCCGATGATTATTTTCGAGTACTTAGGGCCTGCCCAAAACTGCGACATTTTCATGCTACAATGGATTATATGGAACTCTCTCCGGAATACATGTCTACAATTTTGGGAATTCTTAAGGATAATGGAGTGACGCGGGAGGATCGATTCGAATTGGTTATAACTAGCAATTATAACTGGGATTGCACCCGAGAGCTAGTAAGTGCCGAAGATGAAGATGTTTCATATTTTAAAAATTATCACTTTTAGCTTCGCCTGGACCCTGATGCTGAGTTAATTGATCTGTATAAAGAATTCGATAAATTATTAGTTCTTACATAAAAGATGTATTATATAAAAACATCAGTTTTTTTTTATTTTAATTGGAAATAAAAACGTCGTGGGAACTCTAAATAAAGAAACCTTTATTTGTATGCTTTCTGAAATACCCTTGTAGAGGGTTTTTGTATGCTTTCCTTCATTTCTTAGTTCGAAGATCTTTTTAAAGAAAGAAAAAAGATCTTCCAAAATCCACGACCAGATATTCATTTACCTTTTATATCTATTAAACTAAGCTTACGATCTGGAAAAGCTAGAAAAAGTTAGGTAAGGTTAATAGATTGATAAGGGAATCGTAGCTGAGTCCTGTTTTGTAACATTTATTTTTGGTTTTTTAACTGATCTGATATTCTATGATTTTCATTAAATTTCTTATGAAACCTTGAATATCAAAGCCATAAACGAATCACTAATTTTCCCAAATTCCGTATCTTGTTGGCATTGCCGTTCCATTGGTATACAAACAAAAACACTCATTACCAAATAGGCCTTGCAGCTGAAGAGAATAACATTTTGCAGTCCACTAAATCTTGTATTTATGGTCAATTTTTGTCTAGTTTTTAGTACAACAATTGTAAAGTTTTGTACATCAGTATTACTTTTAGGAATATAAAAAAAAACTACCATATTTGTAAAATTGCATTTTTGAAACTAGAAATATATATTTTAAGTAAAATTTAAAGGAAAACGAATCTTTCCTATCATCGCTGGTGTGGTCAGTGAACTCTAAACGAAGAGTCAAAAAGCTCTTTCAAAATTCCTCTCTCAGTGTATGGTGGGGCATATTTCTCTTAGCACTACACGAAACAGTTCTCAGTTCGCATTTTGCTCTCGACGGTGAAGCTTGTAATGGAAAATCCACGGACCATAATTGATTTGCCGTTCGAAGTGCTCGATCTGATATTCAAAGAACTGAAGTGCTTGAAAGATAAAGTGAACCTGGCACAGACTCATGACAGGCTGGGAAAAGCTTTTGCCTTTCACAGTCGCAATGAGTTCAGGACTCTTACGCTCAGTACCGCGTTAACTAACGAATCGTGGGCCTTTCTTGTGCAAGAATGTGGCACATCAATTGAGGAATTAGATTGCGAAAAAAGGAGTTTGTACCTTATAGCCGAGTCGATTGTGAAGCACTGCCCCAATCTGAAATCGGTATCAACTTATTTTTCCGCGGATGATAGTGCCAGCATTATGTCTTTTTTAGGGAAGATGAAACATTGCCTACTATCGCTTAAATTAACACAAAGTTATTTTAAAAATGCATTTCCATTAGAAATCTTGAAAGTATTGTGTGAAATTTCCCAATTAAAACAGCTATGCTTGTGTAATGTATATCCTGACGAAAATAGTAAGTCTTAGAAAAAGTTATTTCCTTATTAAATATATTAAAAATCTCTGAAACTTTAAGTACTCTTTCCATTTAATTTGCAAAACTTGATATAAATTTTATTGAAATACTAACCACAGGAATATTAAAATAACCAGAAACAACAAAAATATCAAAACAACAAAAATTTGATATTTTGTTGGTGTTTTTCGTTTTTACCCATCACTGTTGCATGTAGTTCAGCTCGTAGAAATAATATTTTTTGTAGTGCACTATATACAGACGTGTGTCGCCCTGGAAAAGCTGGAACTCGATAATTTCTGTGTACTAGAGACACATACTGTCAATCTACAACAGATTTGTGCTCCACTTAAGAATCTCCGTGAATTAAGTGTGAGTAATTTCGAAATTCTGCCGTTTGAGGATTCAAATTCATCTATATGGGCCAGGTTAGAAACACTGGATTTGATTCAATGCAAATACCTCGAAATACCTGATTGCCCAAAACTTAAAAGCTTGAACATTAATTACACCATATGTTTCTTCGAGGATTACGGGTTGAAATTAATCCTAAAAAACGGAAGAAATCTTAAAACATTGTACGAGGGCTGCGATCCACCACTCGAAGCCGAAGATTTCCTTCGAGTTCTTCGGGCCTGCCCAAAACTGCGTAGCCTTTATACTTCAATGGAAGATATAGAACTCTCTCCGGAATACGTGTCTACAATTTTGGGAATTCTTAAGGAAAATGGAGTGACGCGGGAGGATCGATTCGAATTGGTTATAACTAGCATTTATAACTGGGATTGCATCCAAGAGCTAGTAAGTTCCGAAGATAAAGATGTTTCATATTTTAAAAATGATCACTTTTAGCTTCGTCTGGTCCCTGACGCTGAGTTGATTGATCTGTATGAAAGTATTCAATAGATTATTAGTTAATACATATATAAATGATGTAATATATAAAAACATGAGTATTTTTTTAATTATAAATTAAATACCCTTCTCAAGTGTTTTCGTATTCCTTACAGTTCTTAGTTCGAAGATCGCTTCAAAGTAATAGAAAATCCACGATTAGATATTTATTTACCTTTTATATCTACTAAACTAAGTTTACGATCTGAAAAAGCTAGAAATAGTTAGGTAAGGTTAATACGTTAATAAGGGAATCGTAGCTGAATCTTTTTAAGGAAAATTTATTTTTCGTTTTTCAACTGATTTGATTTTCCAATGATAGTTCTATGATTTTTCATTAAATTTAATATGACCAGACTAAGTGCGGAAGTACAATGAATTGTGGTGAGAAATCTAAAGCTTCTTTAGGATTCCCTCTCTTGATTCGCGAATGCATTTTTCTATTCGAACGATGGATTTCATGTCTCAGTTCGCATTTTGCTGTCAAAGGAAAAGCTTGGCTATGGAGAACCCTCGGACAATAACCGATTTGCCGTTCGAAGTTCTCGATCTGATATACAACGATCTGGATTGTTTGAGAGATAAAGTGGACCTGGCCCAGAGCCATAACAATCTGGGAAAAGCTTTTGCTCTTCACAGTCGCAATGAGTTCAGGACTCTTAAGCCGAGTACAGAGTTAACTGACGAATCGTGGTCCTTTCTTATAAAACAGTGCGGCACTTCAATTGAGGAAATATGCTTCGGAGGCAGGGGCATTTACTGGAATGATCTTATAACCCAGGCGATAGTGCCGAACTGTCCCAATCTGAAATCATTATCGACTGATTTTTACACGCATGATAGTAAGAGCATTCAGCATTTTTTAGAGGAGATGAAAAATTCCCTGACATCGCTTACTCTGAACCAAAGGGATGATTTCCCTTTTGAAATCTTAAAAGTGGTTAGTGAAATGAGTAAACTAAAGCAACTTTCTATAAGAGGGAATTTTGATGAAAGTGGTAAGTATTTTGAAAAATGTGTTTATCCCCTTATCAACTCGACTGCAAAAAGTATACAAAATCAATTGGTATCAAATATAATTAATTAGCATTTTGAAATAAAATGATTAGTTCTTAAGGTTTTTGAGACAAGAAGACTGGTAGACTGGTAGACTAGGGATCAAGATTGTATTTACATTTTGTTTTTTATTGTTTGCTTAAATATAATTTTATTCCTTATTTTTAGTTTGCCATTTAGAGAATCTAATAGCCCTGGAAAAGCTGGGAATCGAATATCGTAGTAATTCATCGAAACTTCGTGTCGACTTAATACGGATTTGTGCTTCCTTGACAAATCTTCGGGATTTATATGTGTCTGATGTAGAAATATTGCCGTATGAAAAGCCATTTTTAGCAACGTGGGCCAGAGTAGAATCCCTAAATTTGAGTCGGTGCAAATTACCACCTGAACTCCCAGACTGTCCTCAGCTCAAATTCCTCAATATACATCATCCCATATTACACAACGAAGGTAACGCCTTCCTTTTCCTTCTCGAGAGCGGAAGAAATCTCGAAACATTGTATGAAGAATTCGACCCACCAATTGATGCCGATAGCTTCCTCATAATACTTCAGGCCTGCCCAAAATTGCGAAGTTTTTATACTCGAATGGAATATATAAGACTCTATTCGGACTATGTGTCTACTATTTTGGAAATTCTTAAGGGTAATGGAGTGACCCAAGACGATCCATTCGAATTGGTTATATGTAGGCGTATTAAGTGGAAACGCTTCCGAAAATTAGTAAGTACGAAGATGGAGAGGTTTCATATTTTAAAATCCGTTATTTTTAGCTTCGTTGTGCCCCTGATGCTGAGTTGATCGATCTGTATGAGGGTACTGAGCAGAATGTAAAAATAAATAAACTAAAATAATTTTATGTTGGATATAATTATAATGTAACTTCGAATATAATAAATTATTTGCTGAAATTCACCAGCCGATTTCAGTCAACTTTAATCCAAGATACCAAAAACTTGGAATGGAAAAGAAACGGACAATAATCGATTTGCCGTTCGAAGTTCTCTAATAATTGTAAAATAAATCTTTTGAAAGAATGTAACAGTGTAATTCGCAAGTAATTTAAGGAAAAGGAATTCAGGCGTGTAAGTTCAAGACACCAGTTATGGAGTTTAAAGGCAATACATGTCCGATTAGGAAGGGAAATTCCTGGAAATGAAAAGTGATAATTCATTTACTAGCAATGGTCTTATATATAATGTTAAGCCAGTTGATGGGACGTGCGATTGTTTCAATGTTAAATAAGCTTGATTGAGTTTTGAGCCATCCGTCCGTATGAACGCTGAGATGTCAGGAACTATAACAGATATAAAGTTGAGATCAATCATGATGATTCTTGAGGTCCCTACGCAGCGCAAGTTTATTTCATCCTGCCACGCCCACTCTAACGCCCACAAACTGTGGCGACTATAGTATTATTATGAACGCCTTCGTTTGACCTTGTATAACATATTTTTGTGTATCGATCGATCTACCAAAGATTTTGCAAATCTGAACATTATGTCGCTATTTATGAAGAAATTTAGGTTACAAGCCCTCACATGGGCAGTGTCGTCACTATCAGTTACTCAGCATGCTTTCTCCGACAGTAGGTGGCGCTTTGGGAATTTCCACTAGCAAAATAAATATTTTAAAATTGTGTAAAACATGTTTCCTCTTGTTTTAAGTAAATACTCTTATATTTTTCTTATGATAGTTTCAAGTGTAATGGTGAAATGTTCAGTATAATGAGCAGTCAATAAATTGCAAGCGAAGAGAAATCGTTAGCTCTTTACGGATTCCCTCTCTCCGTTCGCGAATGCACTTTTCTCTCTACACGATGTATGAGTATTTCGCCATTCGCTGAAAAGCTGGGCAATGCTTCGGTCTATCAATATACATATATATATATATATATTATGTGCCAATTATGTATTATTTTATATGACAATTATAACTAATTAGCAGGGAAAGCAAGTAAAAGCCCTTTAAGTCTTTGCTGTTCTGATGTCAATGTCAGTGAACTGTTAAAAGAGTAACCAATGTTTTCCCTCTCAGATCCCATGCAATGGCTCTCTTCTTATCTTTGCACAGTATGACACAGTTGTCAGTTCGCATATCGCTCTCGAGAAAAATGGAAAATTCACGGACCATATTCGATTTACTTTCGAAGTTCTTGATTTTATATTCAAAGGAATCGAATATAATGTTTAGGAGAGAAGCCATCTGTCAGCTTGCAACGAATATGTGCTCCACTAAATAATGTTCGAGCTCTAAAGGTGCACATGAATATAATGCCGTTTGAACAGGCTTATTCAGCGATGTGGCTGGGCTTGGAATCCTTGGAGTTGATATACTGCCAACTTGGGATTCCTTTGAGCTGGTTATATGTATGATTATTTAGTGGAAATGGTTCCGAAGATTGGTGAGTGCCAAAGTGTTTAAGAATATATGTACATATGAATTATTATAAAGTTCCTTTCCACCTTCTTCCGACCCCTGATGATGAACTGATTGATCATTACTTAAAAAGTGGCTAATCAGACTTATTGACTAAAATATTCTATTTGAATGCCCATGGAGTGCTGATATTTTAATAATTAATTTTTTTAAGAATTCAAATTAGTTAAGTAAATAAATATATATTTGATTTTTTACAAAAGAATATATTAAGAAAACTAAATATATTAGCATTAAAAGTCAATGAAATGTGACTGAAAATACTGTAAATTTGTAAAGAAAGCTGGCACTCTACATAGACATAAATAGAATATACCTTAAGCTGCTTAAGCAATGGGTATTGAAAGCTTTTTGATCTTCCCCGTACCTTCTCTTCTTTGGATGATGGGTAAACATTCTTTCCGCCGTCAACTTTTATTCAGTTCTTCGTTGCCCTTCGCTTTCGAGGGTATGGGTACCTGCAATGAGAAATCCACGGACTATAACCGATTTGCCGCTGGAAGTCCTCGACCTGATATATACGAACTTGCGAAATCTGAGAGACAAACTTCGATTGGCCCAGGCCCATGAATATTTGGGAAAGGCATTTTCCTACCACAGCCGCAGTGATTACAAGAGGTTTACCCCAAAAATATATTTTCCGGTTCGGCTATATCGTGTTCTCCTGACGGAATGTGGCTCCTCCATTGTGGAGTTCATCTGTGGATCGGACACCTGGAGCGATCTGTTGGCCAAATCAATTGCAAAGAACTGCCCTAACTTGGAATCGGTGAACATTAGTGTTACGTTGAGGAACACGATGAGTGTTCAATCATTTCTGCTGAATATGGCTAATTCATTAATATCGGTCGAAATAAAACTGAACGACGGTTGCCAATCGCCTAGGGTACTTAATGCCTTGGCAGAGCTGAAAAACTTGAGGAAATTGCTGTACGAAGGATACATTGACAGAGGAGGTTTGTATTATAAAAAATGTTTACAAAATCGCCTAATTCTTTCCAATTTAACTCTCTTTTTACTCGACACAATCAATCATTATTGGCCTTAGTAAGAAACAATATTAACCCTAGTTGGCCAAAAATAACAATTAAAGAAAATTAAAAAAATGTCTCTATACTGAAATGCAACTATTGCCTTATAATTATTACTATTACTTAACGTACAACTTTCTTTGAATCTACTACAAGTAGGAATTTATTGTTTATTTGATTACAAAATATATAAACAATATTCGATAGGCAAGTGACCCGAGTTTTCAATGGGTTAAACGAACACAACAGAAAATGTAATGCGATATCAACCGGTAAATGTTTCATATTTCGCCATTCCAACTGTTTGTCGCCTTTGTTTTGGCTCCTATTCTGCTCGTTTCTTCCTAACATAAATATTTTTTTACTTTGAATATTTACTTTTAAGTAATTGAAACTAAAATGATGTAAATAGTCTCCTTATTTGCTAAATATATTAATTTTAAATTAAAAAAAAGAAATAAAGTTTATATACATTTTTAAAATGCTTTAAAGCTTAAAAGTAGAAATTTTAAAGGGAAAGGAATAGGTATGAAAAAATACAAGTACGATTATTTTTGTTAAATTTTATATACACATGTATTTATTTAGATTTCTGACTCATTTATATTCCTTGCATATTCTTATCATTTTCCAGTAAACCAGCTGTACAAATTAGTTAATTTAGAGGAGCTAAAACTCGACTACAAAGGCAGGGGCTACAGATGTAGAGCGATTAATCTGCTGCAGATTTGTGGACAAATGACAAATCTCCGATGTTTAACCGTGAGCAACATATGTATATCCCCACCAGACGGTTTTCATCCCATGATTTGGCCAAATTTGAAAGATTTAAAAATGCAGAACTGTGAGATCAGCACAGTATTACCCGATTGTCCGAAGCTAAAAATATTGTATGTAAAATCCTGCAAATGCAGAATCAAAGGATACGTCTGCAGTTTCATTCTGAAGAACGGTAAAGATATCGAGGAAATTGATGAGAGCTGTGAGCCGGCACCGTTCGATTGTCCTAGTTTCCTTCAAGTGATCCGTAGCTGTGAGAAATTGCAATTGTTTTCCACTCCATTGGTGGGCATCAAAATCTACCAAGGATTCGTTACTTCCCTAGTGGACATTCTCAAGGATAATGCAGCAATGCGGAAAGAGCCCTTCGAACTGATCTTGTACTGCCGAGATAAGCTCAGATGGTTTCGGCGATTTGTGAGTGCAATATACCAAACTTTTTACCACATACAGTTTTCGTTTTTTTCATTAATATTTTCCAGCTTCATCGGACCTCAGATCCCGGAGTTATACATACGCTGTACCTGTACAGATTTTGAGGACTGGAAAACTGTCACTGATAGAAATTTATAAATAAATTTTGCTCAATTTTAAATTGTATATTTCAAGAAAATTGTAAATTCTGTTAAATAAGTAATGTTAGACTTTTAAATTGTATTATTAAAATGTTTTGTCCTGCCAAAAATGATCTATTTTAAAATATAATTTGTTAGAAAAATAACTTTAAAAGCTTCTAATTACTTATAAAAGTGCAGAAAGAATGTAGGTTAATAATATCTGTGAACTGAGAGCCATACAATCTGGAAACGCCTTCTCAGTTTCTCTCTCTTGATTTCTCTTTGGCTTTTCTCTGAACTGAACCTAAATTTAGCGATACTCTTGCTATTTTTCTCAGTTTGCATTCCACGTTCGAGGGAAAAGCTTTGCAATGGAAAAACAGCGGACTCTCATCGATTTGCCATTTGAAGTCCTCGATCTGATATTAGGGGAACTAAAGAATCTGACAGATAAACTGCACTTGGCCCAGGCTCATGAATATTTGGGAAAAGCATTTGCCTACCACAGCCGGCTTGAATATAAGATTTTCCAACCTTTTTCCGCAACTTTCGAATTATTTGTGGTTATTGTAAAGGAATGTGGATCGACTATTGAAGAACTTTCTAACTATTATATGAATAGCCCCCACTGGAATGATGAGTTGGCTAAGTCTATAGAGAAGTACTGCCCAAACCTAAAAACTGTTAAACTTCATGTTTTCGGAGATAATTGTGAAGGTGTGCAGATTTTTTTGAAAAACATTAGTAAATCATTGACATCGGTTGAACTTAATATTCGTCCGTTTGTCGATCCAAAAAAAATATTCGAAGCCGTGGCGGAAATGTCTAATCTAAAAAGGTTGACATGCGTTAATTACACGTTCGATGAAGGTAAGTTATGAGTAATTAAACTCATTAAAAGGATTCAAACAGCCATTTTCAAAGCATTGATGTAATCATGAAATTTATCTATTAAGTTTGTCAGATACAAAAATTGATTGCTTTGGAGGAGTTGGTAATCGATTCCGCGAATCCTTACCATCCACCGCCAATAAATCTTCTCGAGATTTGTGCACCACTTATTAATCTTAGACGCCTGACGGCGCGTTTCATAGCTATAATGCCCTCGGAAATGCCTCATTCGATGATTTGGCCAGAAGTGGAGAGTCTATCATTAAATAGCTGTGAAATATTTACAAATTTTCCCGATTGTCCCAAGCTTAAAACTTTGGATATTGCATATACTAACAGCCACGTCGAGGGCTTTCTCTTTGGTTTTATTTTGCAAAACGGACAAAATATTGAAAAGATTAATGAGAAAGTCAAACCTCCTCCATTCGATGGAGAGAGCTTCCTTCAAGTGCTTCGATCGTGCCCAAAGTTGCAAGCTTTTTACACTCCAATGCAGGATATTAAAATTTACCAAGCTTATGTGTCTTCCCTTATTGCGACTCTTAAGGATATAGGTGTCACGTCCGAGGAACCCTTCAGACTAATTATATATTCTCGTGGCAAGTTCAAGTGGATTCATCGATTAGTAAGTACAAATCAGTGAGAGACACAAACCAAACCATTATCTATTTTTACTTTTTTAGATTCCTCGGACCTCTCATCCTGAATTAATCGCTCTTGATTATCTGCACAGATACTAAAACTCAATTCTTAAATTATTTTTTCAATATTGTCTATTTAAGAAAAGAAAATCGTTATTGACTTTTTATTTTGATAATTCTTACAATCCAATAAAGTAACGAATTAAACTAATCAAAACCTGACGTGTTTTTTTGAGGCTGAGGTAAAAATCATTCCTTCTTTCTTTGTCTGACACCTGAATTCGGATTCCCACACTGACAGGGGTAAACACTGAATGACTAATGCTCCAGAAAATCCAAATCCCACACGAACTTTGAACTGGCGCCTGAACTTTCACATCGTGCCCATTTATTTAAAATCTATTCCTTAACATCCAGGAGTGCGTGTCAGGTGCAACGGACAGAGGCCCCGCGGTGGTTCAACAACATTGGCCGCAAACTCCCTGGCTTACTCATCAGGTGGTTTGGGTGCATGGAGTCGAAAAGTGGGAGTTTATGGAACAATGATTCACCTTTTGCTGCTCGGAATAATAACACAGGATAAACAGCACTGATGAGGTCGGGCAGCTCGAAAGGCGATTTCAAAGGCATGTTACGCTCTAAAAAAATTTATTCTCTTAAAGATAAAAATGTTGTTTTCTTACATAGAAATATGTTAACACAATAAATAAAAAAACGTATTTTAGCTTAACCCAAAGCATAATATCTTAATTTCTATAATCAAGCAGTGCTTAGCGGATGAGGCTTATGCAGGACCAGAGGATAAACTTTTGCTGAACCCAACACGAGAGGGGAACTCAAATATTCCTTTGAGTCATCGACCTATTGCCAGCTCCTCTGTCATAAATAAGCCAAAATACACACCCTCTGGAGCCTCCTTGTCTCCTGCTCTGCCTTTTCCGATGAAAATTCAACTCAATGAACTCTCTGGAGGCGACTGACTTATAGCACACTTTTGGCCACTTTACGCTTTGACTTGGCTTTCTGGCCGAATCAGTTCAGTGCACGCACATTGACCCAATAATAGACTTGGGTTTGATGTTCAAATTTGGTTAGTTTTGGGTGGGGCCATCCTAATTTCAAATGGTCTAGTATAGTTTGAAAGGCTAATAATTTGTTCTTATGTTTATTTTGTTTAGAAAGTTTAGTAGTAGTTTCACTTTTTCCACATCTTAGTTCTGATCTGGACAAGGACTTGTGTGTGCTGACCTTTCAATGGCCATCGTTGCAATGTCGAATTTCAATGCTCGCGTGAGTGTGGGTGGCACGTGTGTGCCACATATCCTTGCACCGCATCGGGGGAATATAGTTAACAATTTGTCAAGGAAATGCAAAACAACTGCAATGGGTAGCCCTGAAATTAATCTACCTCCCACTCGTACTTCCTGTGTTTTTTTCTCCTTCTGCCTGCCACCTACTCAATGTCATTTGCAGAAGTTTGGCGGCTGCATCATCAAACAAAAGTCACCGTACAGCCGGCTGTCCTCAGTTTAACCATCTCAGCATTTTTGTTTACAAAAAAGCTAGAAAAGTATTAAGTAATATTTAATCAAAGTTAATAGAAAATTTTGACCAACCTTATAAATCTATTCAAATGTACATCCTTTCAAACTTTAAATTCAAATAAGATGAGTTCTTATATAAGATTTAATAGTTAAATTTATTTTGTTAATTTCGAAAACAGCTTTTAAAGTTTTATTCAACTAGTAAAACCATTTCCTTAAAACTAGACATATTTATAATATATATAATTATCAATCGGAAGAACCTATCGAAGTCTTAACTGAAAGCGATTTAATTTTTCACTAAACCAAATTATGATTTTAAAACCATTTGGCTACTTTTTGCTAAAATCGTCATCACTGGCGCCACCACGCTTAGGACCTTGGCAATGAGGCAGTTCTAGCCAAGGATCCGAATACGAAACCGAATCGGAGCCAAGGACCCGAATTCGAATGCGGAAATGCGCATGCCTGCGTGTCCTTGCCCTTGGTCCTTGGTCTTCGCCGGGTAGAGCAGTTGTAAGTCCCGTAGTGCCCCTGAAAACTCTTTTAACCTTCGTGCAGCCGTGTGGCAAGTGCAACGTTGCAGCTCCCAAACATGCGCTTTTGCATCTCCGCTCTTTGCAGAAAGACAGAAAGAGAGAGATTTGTAGTTCGTCTCAGGTTACGTTGAAGGTGGCATCCCCTCCAGCGTACCAAAAGTGGTGGTGTCTGGTTGCCCCTGCCACGTGTTGGCAGTTGCAAATTTCACGACGCTGTCATTGACCATGATATTTGGCCACTATTATATTGTGGCTGCCAGGGCCAGTGTCTCAATGAGGTGCCCTCGGTGCCTTTGGAGGTCCTCAATGGGGAAGATTCGGTTCCAAAATGCGCCAAATGACAGATTCTGAACTTTTAAATTTTTGCGAAGGGGGTACCAAGGTTATAAGGATTCGTTTATTTAGCTTTCTTTTTTCAAAAATTAGCATACGAGAAACGTAAAGAATGCTTTCTTATTAAAAATATATTTCGGATTTTGGATATTTTTGTATTGGCTGGTGTGTCCCTTCGTATTCTTTTTCTGGAAAAGTCATCATAGATGATCCGTCAGAAATCTCTTTCAATAAAATATCAATAGCAATGATTGGATGCCTGATCTAATTGGTTTAACAAAGACTTCTACCAGATTATAATAAAAGTTTTTTTCCATTTAGTTTTCCGAAAATGTTGTCAAAACCAGGCATGATAAGTTCTTGAAAACTTAATCGCTGCTCGTCAACAACCATGGCAAATAAGAAAATCAAGGTTACAAGGTGCTGCCTATTCCCTTAAAACTTCCCCAATAGCAAGAAAGACAAAGGAAGCCAACTCCATTAGAGTGCAACCCCCGGAGTTGGCTAGAATCGTAGCTGATGGAGGAAGTATCTCTGCCTTGGATCGACCTTACCAAACAAAATGTAGCCCATCGAGTGTCTAGGAAACCGTTTGTCCTCTTACTCCTTTTCCGCCTTACCCAACTCCTACTCCTGTGATTCCCACTCGTTTTCCACACCCCAAGTCGAAGAGTCTGAAGTTTGCTTTCATTTCGTTGCCCGAGGGGTTGCAATTCCAGACAGACAGGGACCGACGACCAGAACCATAACCAGAGTACCGAAGTGCCGGAGAAATCCACCCACTCGGCGACTTTTTGCAATTATTTTTAATTTCTGTGCTACGACAACTCCCGGAATGCCAAAAAGTTTGCAACCCCAAAAGAAGCACGAAAAGGGGCAAGTCACTCCAGGCGGGATATCACGATATCTATGGAACAGGCCAGAAACATGGATACAAGCTTCGAAAGCCCAGTACAGTGCACTATGATATGTTGCAATTTCTAAGTTCCTTGTTGAATTAAAATCATTATCGGTTTGCACTTCGGTATTAAAAATACCTTTTCTTATGATTGTTCTTCTTATAAGGATTGTTATAATTCAATATTAAGAAATTTTCGAATTTTAAGATCTGTAGAGTTCGAATTATATCAATTTAAGACTGATTTGATAATGAATGTATTTTGTCGGAAGAGTGTGGTGGATTTGTTAAAGATTAGACTAAGAAAGCCAAGAGTGATCAAAGTTCTGAGAATAAACGATAAAATAGGTAAATTTGTATCATGATGATCAAAGCTATAGAAATGTAATGTCTAATCCAAAAATGTAAATCATATATTTTTAGGACTTAAGGCGTATGCACAACAAAAAAGCTCAATTTTCAATCGTATTGAGCGAGCACCCACTGTACCGACGTAGACGTCCGCACCAGTGTTCCATGTGCGCCGTCCATTGCACCCCCAATCTGCTTTGTACATTGACTTCTCTGCTCCGCTTTGTTCTCTGCATTCGCTGCAGGTTCTACCTTCCGCGCTATCTCTCTCACACTCTCTCTCACTATCACTGTCTCTCTCTCTGTGTTATGCTCTCTCTTTTCTCTCTGTGCCCACTGTGCATTCCCATACCACGACCTACCTTACCCACACCCACAGTGCGCTGCTGCTGCACAACTCCCGCCCGGGCAGCGCAGTTGTCGTCGACGGTGACAGCGGCAGCGGCAGCGCAGTTCGTTTTCATATTGAAAGTAGAATTTTTCACTTTTGCGAAAATTTGCAGTCGCGAGTCTCGGTCTCAGTCATTTTGAATACGTCATGTGGAACGCACCGCCGCGGTCCGTCCTCTGTAGCGCTCTTCCTCTTCTGCGCAATCTTCTTACCAATCGGCGGTTAACTTTCGTTTGCTAACCGTAGTATTCGATCGGGCCAAGTTGCAATCCTCTGGATGCGGATGCAGAAAGAATCTGCGGGATGCGTCCGAGTCAGTGGACTCTTTGTACGTGAACATTTCTTGGATTAAGTGCAGTGTTGTGAGAGCTTTGTGTGCCAATTTATGTGAATAAAATATACAAATAACCAGGGGAGAGCAAGGAAAGCCCTTTGAGGCATTTGCAGAAAAGTGAAAATCATTTGTGGTAATTTATTAACGGACTTGAAAAATATTCCTGATTTGTGATGCATCTGAAAGGAATTATCTAACTTACCTAACAATAAACTAAACTCCAGATAAATTTAAAATGTTAAATGTGCTTAAAAAGTTCAAATCCATATTCGTAGTTAAAATATATGAAAATTTATTAAATAACTGTGGAAATACAAAAATGAAAATTTGTGATATTGTGAAAATAAAACTATTCGAAAGTTATGAGAAAAAGTTAAAATGCATTTTTGAAATGGTAGAAATTTATTACTTCTATTATCTGTACTATTTCTTGCCAAAAAAATGTGTGTAAAATAAATTTCTTAAAAATCTTCCTTTTATATATATCTAAAGGAAAAATAAAGTTTTTGGAATTTAAAAAAATACAGAATACATTTTTAGAAAGAATTTATAGAAAGAAAGATTTCTTTTAATAATCAACTTTATTTTAAAAACTTTTACAAAACTGAGCATTAAGCTAATGTCACAATTTTCCACTTTTTTGTCCAAGGCTTAGTCAAATTTGTAAAATTCTAAAACCTAAGTGAAGAAAAATCCGTGCACTCAAGTTAAAATAAATTTGAAAATAATCAAAAACATTAAAACAACAAACAAGTTTGGAAAAAAGAGTTAACGTCGAAAAGAAAATAAATTAAGTTTAAAATGTTTAAAAAAGCGCAAGACTAAAACATATAGAATGGACAATTTTCATAATCACAAATAAAATAAAAAATATATCTGTACAATCTGCTAAACTAAAAATTATAAAGCCTTAAAAATGTGATCTACCAAATAAAAACAAGTGGAGAAAATTTTAAAATAATTATTTGCCTAAAACACTGAAAAATGAGCCCCCTTGACCTTTCACTCTCGCAATCCGCGCGTAACTTAGCCCTAAATTAGATGCCTATGTCTATTGACTATTTAAATAAAAATCGAGCCCAAGAGCTCTTATCCTTCCTGCTGAATAAGCTCTTTTTTGGACTCATGCCACGGCTGTCTGACTCATTCCACTTGGCCAAACTCCGTCTGGAGTTGCAACCCTCATTAGAGGCGAGCCACACCCCCAGCAAATAGTGCCCATCCCCACCCACCACCTAACGCCCCTTGCAACTCCGCAGAAATGCAGAGACCCCAACAAAAAAACAAAGGGGGAAAATCTAACAGAGTATGTACAGAGCATTAACAGTGCGCTGCTTGCTCAACTGTAGACACTCTGTTAGCGTTGCCTTGGTGTGGGTGAACTTGAACACACACTCGTGTGGTCTATTTCTCTCGGCGCTCTCTCTTTTTATTTGCACTGCTCTCTCGCTCGGTTTATTCTATTTCAAGTTCTTATTTTGCAATGCAAGTGTGTGCGATGTCGTTCAGTGTTAAGGTCAATACATTGCCGCCTTTGCAAGTGTGTGTGCCTTTTTTGCGTAGTATATGTGTGCGTGTGCACTTGAAGAAAAAGTTTGAACTGTAATGAATTTTTGAATAAACTTATTCCTTAGCATGTAAACATTTAATCAAATAAATATGATTTACCATTATTAAACATTTTTTAAAGTTCTTAAATACATTGAAATTATAGTATATGCTAGGAGAATGTAGTTTGAATTTTTCAAATAGCATTCAAGTATATACAAAATAAAATAAAATAATAAACATAATTTTTATAAATTTATAATCATGAATTTTAACAGGTTTTTTAGTCAGATTATCAAAAGCTCAAATATTCCACAAGCAAAATACTAACAATTGTTGGTTCTTCCTTTTATTCATATTTTTATTATTATTGATAAATATTAACTTTGTTTCGATTTTCAATATTTTCCCTGTGTGAATTTCCACATGGTTACAGTTTGTGAGGTTGCATTTTGTTTGTTGATTAGTCTGCTATTGAATGTTGCCATGCACACGCAACTGCACACATTCGCACATTGAATGTCATCGCCTTTGCTCGTTTTGTAAATAGCGGTTTATTTTGTGTACATATTTGTATATATATATATATATCTGTATTTTTGGAGGTCTCCCCCACTGACGTTTGCGGAAGCTTACGCTATGTGGCCGCCATCGAATCGACGAGGAATTATGGGGCATGATGCATCATCTCATGGCGCTTCGAAAAAATATGCATTTCTTTTGACAATGTCACATGATTGCTCGCGTTTGCTTTTTATAGACAGGTGAAAGTAGGCGAAATTAATGTTCTATTAAATTTTGTAACGGGATTACGATGGATTTTTGATAGTTTTCAGATTCTTAGGCTTAATACGTAGTTACGAGTATTCAATCATACATTAAAGAAGCTTGATTCTAGCTACACTCTTATTCAGTCACCGATTTTTGAAAATATAAAATTTTCATATGAAATAGCAGTTATATATTTTTTTCAAGCTGCCAATAAAGGAATACATATATGTATGTCAACATTAGCCGAGCCAATTTGAAGCCCTCAAAGTACACAAATTTGTTGTTCAAAACTCCTGTTTTTGGCAGGCCAGCTCCATTCATCAGCTACAGGGCAGACCCAGAACCTACCTCAATGCGTAACCCTGCCCTAACCCAGAGAAATCAACCCAGGCCCACACCAACTGAAAAAAGGCAACCCCATGGAAATCTCTCGGCACGCATATTACTCATACGCACCCGAAACACGGAAGTTGAGGGGCGATAAATGAACCCCCAACTGAAAAGCGAACCACCCCCAAATAAGCAGCAACCCTTATGGCAAAAAAACTCCAAAAACTCCCCTTCGAAACGGCCCCAGTCCAGATATTGTTAAACCCCTCGTCGAAAAAAAGGAATGAAAAAAGCTAACAACAATCTTTCGCTTTTGGCTGGCTCATTCGCATTTATTTTTGTTTATTTATGTTTTGCTTGTTGTATTCTTCGCCTCAGCTTCCTCGTACGCAGTCGCTCTCTCTCTCGCTGAGAGACTCGATTTCGGATTCTTTCCATCTTTGCAGCCTGGTACTCTCCATTTCTCATATGGATTTCACTTTCATTGTGCAGCTTTTTGCGCGAGAGCCGACTGGCTTTGTTGTCGCTCTTTTCTGGTTCTGTTCTGGCTTTCTGAGCTTTTGCCGTTTCAGTCAGAGAAAGTACGGCCAACGCAACGGTTGCGAATATAGCCCCAGCAGCCGCGATTTAAGCCAATATACAAAACACAACTACCCGAGCAGAGAGTGAATGAATTTATAACCAATTTTCAAAGGAAAAATTTCAAAAATCTATAAATAAAAGAGAGTGAATATTATCGGGAAAATGTGCAATAATTATGGGAGCACGGCAAGGTCCCTTATATAAGCGAGAGCCCATTGTCAAGGGCGCCAAGCGCTTGCCACATTGAGCCGTGGCCGTGGCCGTAACCGTGTCCGTGTATCGTTCTCGTATCGTATCCGCAGCGCCTCGTGAGCGTCCTTGTCCTTGTGCAGGCCGAACAGCTGCTTGGGTCCTGTCCCGTCCCGTCCCGTCCTGCCTTGTCTTGTCTTGTCCTCCTGTGCTCTTGCCCCCGACCTCGTCTTCGTCCTTGTTCTTGAACCATTGAGTCCTCCAAAAATATAACTGCTACTGCTACTCCGCCCTGCAAAGCAAAAACGACCTTCCCGGGCGCCCAGCTGTTGCTACGAACCACCCACTCGAATTCGACCCTCAGCTGTTGGCCATACGATATAGGAATCGAGGAGAAAAGTTGCAAGAAAAAATGCCAGAAAATCGGAGACATCGCTAAAACAGCTGTGCAGTATTCCTACGGAACCATAACATTCGTCACCTCGTCGCAATGTGCTTCAATAAGTTGTTCCTAATAAACAAAATCGCCCCGCGTTCGCCTGGCCCAAAGGTCAAGAGTCAGCATAGACAAGTGTAAGAGCCGAAAACAACTAACGAACAAGTTAATCAAATTGTAATCAAAGTGAATACACACCATAATTGAGCTTTAAGCAGTTAATAATATTCAAATTATATGGAAAGTGGCACTTAAAAATCTAGCAAAGCTCACACAACGCTCTCCGTGAAAGAGAAATACTTAAAATAATATTAAAAAACCAATTCAACTATATTTTTCTAGAGGTGTTTAAAACAAAAACTAATTCGCGAATGAAAAGTCAAATCTAAACAAAAAACAAAGTGAACAAAAATTACTGCTCAGGTTTAAATGTTAATAACAAAAAGGCAACTTAAGCGTTGTGTTTCATGTGCAAAATCTTAAGGAATATCTATACAAAAAATAAACTCATATATTTTTGGAATATAATTACTAAAACCAATCGTAATAATAAATCTCGTAAGTCGTGCAACTTGTATAAAATATAAACTAATATAAGCAGTGAATATATAACTATGAAATCAATTTGTTGACAAACAAATTAAAGATTAAACCTTATACACACCTAAATACGATCATCAAATATATATATATATATTCTTATACATATTATTCAACGATTTTAATCAATCAATACATCAATCAATTCAACAATCAATCGAGGGATATACTTTATTTTGCCTAAAAGAAGTAAGTGGTTCACGTTTTAAGTTTAGCTTTCAAAATTCTATAAGAATATATTTTATATATTTTTGATATACCTTTAATCCTGTATAGCTACTTCAAAGGAATACCTACAAACATACTCAGACGCTGCTGTGGATCGGGAGAAGCATAAATCAGCAAACAATAAACCATCAAGTATTATTAGCAACTAAAACGAACTCAGACTAGGAATCAGCCTCAGAACTCTCAGAACGAGATCATCAAACTTAACTTAACTCAACTCAACGCAACTCAGTCGAACTCATCTCATCGTGAACGGAAGTAGCCTCAACCAGAATACAACAGAGACAAACGTATATATTTAGACATATGGTAATGATCAAGCAACTGTGGGCAGGTATAGGAACAACGCTAAGCTAAACGTAAGGACTAAGGACAACAAACAAACAAACAAATTCTCTAGGATACAATAGCATACAAGGAAAAACATAAGCAAGAAACATAAAAACAAAAACAGAAACAGAAAGAAAAGGATAACTTTTTCATGCAACTTTCAAGGCTGACAAAAACTAATTTTTTGATAATCCAAAAGCAGAAGCGAACAAATTACAAAATACCACAACAACAGCAACAGCAAAAAGCGTTAAGAAGAAGAGACTGATTTTAAAAAACAAAAGAGCAAGCATCGGCAAGGATAGAAAGCAGCAGAAGTGAGGCAAAAGTGATTCAGGATCAAATCCAAAACAAACAAACAAACAAAAAACAAAACAAAACAAAACGCAACTTTCCATACAACATATTTAGATTATATCTAAGACAGATTGATATTTTTGAGCGATTATCCCTATTTTGATATATCATGTTGAAGAAACTCAAGTGCATGGAGGCGGTCCAGGCAGCCGCAGCAGCGGCCACGTCTGGAGGATCATCTGGTAGTGGTTCCACTTCCAGTTCCACACCCAAACTAATCAAGACCGAACCCATTGACTTCGAGATGCTGCATCTGGAGGAAAGCGAGAGACAGCGCGACTTGGAGCGGGAGCCGCCGAGTAGTAGCAATAGCAACAACTTGACCCCTCAGCGATACACCCACGTTCAGGTGCAGACCGTTCCACCGCGCCAGCCCACTGGTCTGACCACCCCCGGTGGCACCCAGAAGGTCATCTTGACTCCGCGAGTGGAGTATGTCCAGCAGCGAGCAACCAGTTCCACGAGCGGCAGTGTCAAGCATATTTACAGCCAGCAACAGGTGGGTGGTGCATCGCGACCTGCCCCACCCGAGACGACGGCTCTACTGACCACTACGTCGGGCACCCCTCAGATCATCATTACCCGCACCCTGCCCTCCAGTCAGCACTTGTCGCGACGCCATTCGGCCAGTCCCTCGGCCCTGCACCACTACCAGCAGCAACAGCAGCAGCCACAACGACAACAGCAATCGCCGCCACCGCTGCACCACCAACAGCAGCAGCAGCAGCATGTCCGCGTGATCCGCGATGGCCGCCTGTACGACGAAGCCACTGTAGTGGTTGCTGCTCGTCGCCATTCGGTGTCGCCACCACCGTTGCACCACCACTCCAGATCAGCGCCTGTATCCCCGGTGATCGCAAGGCGTGGTGGTGGTTCAGCCTATTTGGATCCGCAATATCAGCAAAGGCAGACGCCACCTCTGGCACCACCAGCGCCTCCTCCACCACCGCCACCTCCACCTCCGCCTCCCCAGCAACAGCAGCAGCAATACATCTCCAGTGGTGTTGCACCACCCACGGCAGCGGCTCGAAAATTTGTGGTTAGTACCAGCACGCGACACGTAAACGTGATTGCCTCCAACCACTTTCAGCAGCAACATCAATCGCAGCAGCAACATCCGGCGCATCAACAAAATGTGATCGCCAGTGTTAGTTCTAGTAGTGGCTCCTCGTCCTCGGGACCAGCCGGCTCTTCTTCTTCGCACATCTTTCGCACGCCTGTCGTATCTAGCAGCAGCAGCAGCAGCAGCGGCAACAGCAACAACAACATTGCGCACAGCAGCAACATGCACCATCAGCAGCAACAGCAACAGCAACAGCAGCAATCGAACCTGGGCAACACGGTGATGCGGCCACCACCGCCACCGCCTCCGCCCAAGGTCAAACACGCCTCCAGCTCAAGCAGCAGCAACTCGAGCAGCAGCAACACCAACACCAGCAGCAGCAGCAATGGCGAGGAGCCGTCTAGCTCGATTCCTGATCTAGGTAAGTCGTCGCTGCCTCAAGACAAGCCACTCGAAACGTTAAACTAGCCACCCGTTGACCCTGACGGCACTTGTCGATCGTTTTATGGTCGGATAAGCGGTTGACAGGTTCCTACAATACAAAAATATACCCGGACACTGGACTACATAATTTGTATCGTGTTTTAAGATTTTTAAAAGTATAAAATGGGTAACAATATAAATGGTGCTTAGAACAAAATTTATGTTAGCAACTTATAGAAGTCGATAAATATTTTCCTAAAAGTTAAAATAAATTTTGCTACATAAATAAGGCTAACGATCCTTCAACATTTGCCAATTTCCAACTAAGATATTGATTCAAGTGATATATAATATATATACCTAACACCTTCGAAATCTGTAGCTAAGTGTAGGGCTGGGACAGACAAACTTGGCATGTAGGAAATTAAAATGTATTTACTTGTGAGTCAGCGGTTAATAGAGCTGTTTGTACAGTTATTCGTTGCACATGATACATTTACTAACACATATATACGGAATGAATGGGAATAACGGTAATGCTGAAACCATCAAAAGGTCAAACCAAATATATGAGTAATTTTACTTTCTATAACATCGAGGCAAAAAAATCTAGAATAGAAAATAATGACTGAAGCACGTTTTGAAAGTGGAGTGATTGGGTCAATGGGTTTTTTTACTTTTAAGTGGGATTACGTCTGGAAATGTTAGTCAAGGTGTGTGTATATATAATCGACATGAAAGTCTGAGAATACTATAGTATATTATCTGATTTAAGATTTCGGTTTCAGACCTAACATTCCAATTCCGATTCATCATTGGATTACCTCATAATTTTGAATTGCTTTTCGGGAATGATGTATATGCGAGAATATGTGTGTATATTCATATGTCCAATCCAATCCTGTGCTGCACCTCAAATCAGAATTTTTATTTAAATTTAATTATCAATTTAAATTGAAATTGTTTTCGGGGGTTGGTCAACAATCTCCGCCAACCCAAGCTCCTCCTCCTCTTCCTCCACCCCATGCTCGACACACTTTTTAGCATTGCCAAGGTTGCCAGATATATGTTATATATATTTCTATACTATACATATATCTGTGTTAATTTTTGTGTGTATTCAGCAATTGGTTCTCTCGCTCATTCACCTTGAACTTCAACTGGAATAAACTTGCCGCTGTGTCTGCTTTTCTGCTTTCCTCTGACGTGATGTCTGACTTTTGCTGGTTTCGTATCCGAATTGGAATTGGAATATATATATCGGTGAAATTGCGTATAAATGAAATATATATTTTGTTTTTATTTACAAATTACTCAGTGAGATGCGTTTGCAATGCTGATTTACCCTCACTGCTTCCGTTTTTCCAGTCTTAACTGCTTTCATCTGCGGGTAATTGATATAAACATTGCATAATAGCAATTATTTGTTAATAGATAACTATCAGCACTTGTTAACATAATCCATTAGGTAATAGTTTAATATATTCTCCCTCATTATTACCGCCATTTAAATGCAAATTAAACATTTAATAATTATCTATGATTGTCACCTAATTATAGTTTTGCTGTTCTACTTGGCTTGAGACTTCCTTATAACATTATTCGTTTTCTGATATTTATGAGAATTTTGTTGCGATTGTTTTCATAAATTATTCACTTTCAGTTTTGTTTTGTTTGGCTTCCCCGCAAAAGCATTAATTAATCAAATTATTTGTTTATTTTTCCACATAAGCGAGCAAGCGTAGTGCGTTGATTATACGTTTTTTTCAGTCAGGTTAAATCATATGTTTGGCTCGGGGTTTCCAGCTTAGCGGGTAGTAACCTGTTCTGCGAATGCGAAAAAGAGTTGCGGATGAAAGTGACAGTTGAGAATGATTTTCGGGCTGAGATCTCTTGGTATTCTAATGATTTCATTCCGCCGAGCGCTGATTTTTTTCGCTTTGATTTTTTATTTATTTTTTTTATTTTGCCATGTCTCAAGATACGCTTAGTTATACAATACGTATGGCAGCGTGTGTGTGCTTATATGGAGAGTCTTGCGAGCTGATTTCTTCGACAGCGGCCTGTTGTTCTTGCCGTTCTCCTTTTGTTGTTGCTGTTGCATGCCTGACTAATAAATAAACGAGTCTGCGAGTTGAGCAAATAAAAGTCAAGGCCAACTGGGCCAACTCGAAAGATTTATTTTATTATTATTTTTTACTCGCAGTCATCGAAAGTGTGAAAGTGATTGCAGATTTACTAGAATTTGTTTATTTTAGCTTTAAAGTTTCTTCCCGTTGTTCCCTGTGTCGCCTATGTCCGACTGTAGGGCACTAGAGTTTTCAATGTCAATGCCAAACCCAATTCGAGACCTTAAGCTCCACGCATCAAACACACTTACACACTTACACATATATATCAGCAATGGGTCAACACTGTGTCTTTGTGATTGTGTATGTAGAGCACTCATAAACGTCCATATATCCCTCGTGGAATGTATTTTTATTCCATTGTTATCATTTTGCGCAAGTGACAGCCAGCAATTGCCACATAAACACACATGGGAAAGCGAAACACACAGAGATGGTGAAAATTTCTGAGAGCAATGTGTGAAAATAAATAATTTATTGCTCTGAAATTGTTAAAAATAGAAGATCAACATTTATTTTATTTTTAACAGAGTATCATCATTCCGTAATAATATTTTGAAATTCATTCAAAACTGAGTTATATTAACTTAATAAAATGTATTTCTTTTAATATTAAACGAAGCTCTTCCACCATATTTTTAGTACAGAGAAATGTAGACAATTTGGTTTTCCGTAATTGATTTTTACTGAACGATAAAACACATTTTTTAATCGTTGTCTGTAAATTGAAATCTGCAAATATTTCCCCATAAGTTTATAATCATTTCTTGACATATTATATCTTTTCTAAACAATTGAGACAGAGATTACAAAACACATAACCTAACTCGATTGAGGGCGAATATTAATTGTTTATTTCTTTACATTTTCGAGCCGACCAGTTCAGTTCGACAAGCTGCTCTTGGCAATGGAAAACGATTTGCATATTCTCGAGTTAGCCAACTGTTGTGTAAACCGTTCTATTAACTAGTATATAGTGTTATGCAAACAGTTATCCAAAGTGCCTGTTTAGACATTGCGGTAAACTACCTACCGAGACCAAGTTCTACATCAACGTTTAGGTAACAGCTCTGGTTAGAAGCTATATACGTACTAACAAAATACATTAACTTATAATTGTTTCTATCAATGGAATAATCTATATACATATAAGTTCGAATTTTCTAATATTTCGTTTTCTGTTATATCTATACTAAGTAATTAAAGTTTGAAATGTCTTAAATTTCAAAGCCTCTAATTTGATTAGCAAACGAAATGGTTGTTTATAAACGCATTTCCCCTATTGCGTTCTGGCCGACATTCAATTGAGTCATTAGCTGTGTTTTGACTTATTTTTCCGGATTGCCTGGCCTAGTCACAGCCATCCAATGACCTTGCTAGTGAAAATGCGCTCTGCCTCTGGCTTACATAACACCCATTAAGAGCAATACTAAATGCTGATTTTTGCCCAGAACCAGGCACTTATATTATTCAATGGAATAAAGGGCAAACGCGTAATGTTTTTAGCTTTGCTTGAACTATGTGCCATTGAATAAAGAAATAGATTATGGCGTATATGATGCGATCAATGATCGACAAGAAGAGCGAATCGAGAGAAATGGTGAGAGTGGACGCCTTTGGGGGAGGTGATGCGTTGGGGGATTCTCGACCTTGAGGTTATACAAACTAATAATAAATACACGTGCTTGTTGCTAATTTCCCTGCGATCCATAGTGTGTGCAAATGTTCTATAATCGAATTGAATATTGATTGAGACTATAATGACAATGTAATTAATGCGCTTTGTTCGAGGTATAATACTTATTAGAGATTTATAGTTTTCTTATGTTAGTATCTAACATATTTTGTAATTATATTATTAAGGAATAGGTTGATTTATAGTGTTATTTATACAATCTTAGAATCGTTTTTATACCTAAAAAATGATGTTTATGTGTCTTTATTATCTTTGCATTACATTTAAAATGTAAAAAAATGATTCTGGGAAGTTCTTTTACTTAACTTAATTTATAAGTTATATTTTTTCATATTTTTATGAAATGGCTTAAACTTAAAATGCCCTGGATTATCACAATTAAGGGTTATAAGGTCTAAGAGATAATTTATCCATTTATTCCACTCCCCTTTTCCGAATGAAATTCCCAATATTCAACTCGATGGCCCTGAATTACGTTCAATGATTTTCGCATAATTAGCCAACAGTTGATTGATTTATAACTGTTGTACTAACTAAACTATGCTCAAATCAAATCAACTACAGCCCCCCGCCCCAAACTGTTACCCCTGCAATTCAGTTTTAAATCAACAAAACATTGACACAAAGTCACGCCAAGACCAGTCTGGTTATGGCAATTTTTCAGTTACTTAACCGAACACAGATAAACAGCGGCTACTACGACAAAAAAAGGCAAATAAAAACAGTTAACAAAAGTATCTGGCGGATAAAATGCCACACGAAGCAAGGCAAAACCTGTTCTAATGGCAACAAAAATCGAAACAAAACAAAATGAGCGAAAACCAAATGCAAATAAAATAAAAATAATATACAATGTGCAATTGTATAAAAATGCGAATTACAAGTGGGCGAGAGCAATAAAAAAAATGTTAGAAAAAAAGCACAAGGTCATTGAGAAGCGGAAGAGAACAACAAAAGGCATAAGGCAAAAAGCAATAGCAAAAAGCAATAGAAACGAAAACCAAGGAACACAAACAAAAACAAAAACACAAAAATGTGACACACTGAAAGCGAGAATACAATAATTACACAAACTTATGTATGTGTGAGTGGGTGGGGTGGGGCAATGGGGAGAGAGCAAGTGCAGGCGTAACGTAAATCTAGAACACTTCCTGAAAGAGCGAGCGAGATGGCGCGTACAACAATTAGCGAAAAGTGAATTTGATTACAGTTGCAACGGGGCGTATGAGTGACGTACTTGAGCGCTGCCAGCGATCTATGTAGCTATTGCTATCTCGCCCTCGCCAGCACCGTTACAATCGCATTGAGACTGAGGCTGCCTAACGGTACCGCACTAGGCCAAATTACAAGGTCCCGCCGGTAATCCCAAACCGAAGTATTATGTCCTCCCGGCGATATTTCCATGATCGCCAACTGATATGGCATTCTCCGATTCAAGTGACGGCAATTAGTACAATGTCGGAAATAAATATATAATATACACAATTCTTACTTGTACTTGTATTATTTTACGGGCATTAACTTAAATCATCTATTGGCTTAAGAAAAATATTGATAGAAGCTCTTTATATATTTAAGTTAAAAGTTTAGTTAGTATTATTTGACAAACATTTTTTTAGAATCATTTGAAATACACATGTATATCATAAAAAGTGGTGAATAATATCGCTAGTGACTACCACCTATAGTATTTATACTATCAACAGTTTCCAAATATAAATAATGGAAATTTCCATATGTGCTCTTATGGAAACTTAATGGCCTAATACTTACTTTATAATACCAAAAATATCCGACTAAAATACAAGTTAAATAAAATAATAAATTATTTATGTTTATAACTTTGCTTGCTCAGATCAGCCATTAGTATCCAAATGTTACAAAAGATCAATAAATTTAGGATAAGAATACTCAGTATTCAGCTATTTTTGGGCCATGATTCCTCCACATATTTGCATAATTTTACTGCGCAGATGAAATGTACAACTAAATCGAAGAAAGCAAGTAAATATTAATCAAACACAAGAATATTTTAATGGGAATATCATTTATATAAGATATATATTATTTTAGCTTAAAATCGAGAATGATTTTAGCATTGATTGAATTGTTAAAACTCACCTGTAGCTACCAGAAATATCCAAGTATAAATTGCAAAAAAGTAGCTTAGAACTTTTCCAGCTACGAAAACTTTCTTTGATCTCTGCATTTTCGGTAAAATGAGTTCTCTTTAAAAACGTTTCCTTGAACATTACTCACTATTCTCATTCCCAGCAGCATACAAATTCCAGCCAAAATATACATAATGGAAAAGAGCATTGTAAAAGAAGCATCAACCCATGCGAGCAATACCAAACTCTCATGATTTACTGCATATGAGGAAGTTTCTAAAGGCCTGGCTAAGTTCATTAAAACCAGCACATACTTGTTTATATCAATTATCAAAAACATGGCGTAGCCAAGCCCTAATGTACCAATTAGTGTGCACCATATAGAGTAGAACTTGGCCCAGCTAGAAGCTGGTATTCCCTTACATGACAAACACATGGCTTAAAATTTAAAAACAACTGCTTTGAGGTAATAGACATAGTTAACTAGAATGCAATCAATCTTTGAGATCGGCTTAGTAAGCTTCTTCCGATGGTCAAGTTCTGAGTCTAGATTCCCACATTGTCACGTCCAGCTTTTGTCATGATGTCTTCAAAGTCTGAGTCAGTTGGGGGAAAGCTTTGAATTTCTTATAGCTGGCACCGAACTGAATCACCTTTGGCTTAGATGACGGCTTGACGGGAAGCACTATGGGCACGAAAATTATCAGACGTAAATACAAGCTGTTTTTCAAGGTGGCACAAAATTGAAGGTTTTTCTTTGCTAAAGATGATCTAAAAAGTAATTTAAACGTGAATCAGTTTGTTAGAAAGAAAACGAGATAGTTACTGTGATCATTGCGTAAAGTCTTTTTATAAGAAATGGAATATAGAAAACTTGTACATATTATGGGAGATTTTTCGTGTTGTTTTCGTTTTTAATGATTTTTCAGAATATATTTCACAAGATTTTGAAAATATCGCCATTCCTTTTGAGTCATATCCAGACACAGTGACTAGCCAACTCCAATGTTTATGCAAATATCACCACCAGCCCTTGAACAGCCCCTGCAGTTGCCCTAAATTGCACATTTAGGTCATGAACCGGAAACGTCTTAATTACATGAAATAAGTGAAGCTCAAACTCAATTTAAATGCACCACAAAAGTGAAAAATGCAGAATGAACAAGAAAATCAAAAGTGCAAAAAAAAAAAAACAAAAACGAGTAGGGAAAAAAGGCGCAGACAGCCAGAGAATTGCATACATAAAAAACTCGAATCAAGTTAAATAATTAAGCTGGCCAGCAAAGCAGAACAACAGGAAGGGTTAGAGGGAGACAGGCGGGCGATATAGGGAGTGGTAGGGAGAGGGAATCGTCTGACAAAAGGCCCGACTGGACTCTTCAAAAATAAATAAAAATAAAACAAATCGCAGCGAAATCCCAGCAAACACAGACAACAGTCGCCGAAAAATGGGTAAACTTGGTGAAATTTTTGTGCCGATTTCGTAATTTTAGTCTTTAGCTTTACAAATTCCTTCCAAAAACATGTTTTCGAACTTTGACAAGTATTTTAATTTAGAAGCGTTATGTGTCATCTATACTTGATTTAAAAATTTGAACATATTCTACAAAAAACAATTTTGTGATTTATCGTACCATTTACTCTCATTCACTTTTACATTTTAAAAGTATTTAAAAGATTTATTTTTGTTAATTTTGAATCATGAAAATGATACAAGAGATAATAAAATTCTGTTTTTTTCCAACTTTAAGATAATAATTAATATATCTCCAATTCATATTGGAAGTATTACCTAAATGTATGCTTAAAAATGGTTTTATATATTAGGGAAACAACCTTTTTTAAGTTTAGAACAAATTTTCTCGATTGTTACTCTTAAGGTCCCTGAAAAATATGTTCACCACCTTCGAGCCAGCACTGTTTCAAGAATAAGTATCTGAAGAACAAGAACAGAGGCAGAGGCGATAAATCGGAGACCTTGAACTTTGGTAACAACAAAAGCATGCAGAACAGTTCAAGCGGCGAAGAAATGAGCCTGGCAAGAATCAAGCCCGCGTGATGAAGAAGGGGCAACAGTACCAGCATTAAATCAAGCAGACCAAAGGTCCCAATGTAGGGCAGACAGAGGAGGACGGAAACAGTCGAAAGAGAGGGGAACAGGGAACAGGAACGGGAGGGGGGAAATTGTCTGGTTATTAGCAGGATCGGCGAAGAATAAAACTGGTTGCTGGAGGGAGCATATACAAAAGACCTCCTTCTCAGTTTCTCATGCAAGTGCCATTGACCTACAAGCAAAAGTCGTTGGCTTCTTGTGGATCGCAAAGAACGCAACTCAGTGAGAAAGAGTTGGAGATATAGGTGCAGAAAGAGACACCGAGATGAGTCAGGGAAAGAAAGAAGAGGAAGTGCACAGAGAAGTTAATCTTATTGGAAATAAATATATAAATGCTGAGATTGTTTAAGCCGAATCTAAGCTATATACAAATTCATGTTGCTTTCAGTTTGGGGTGATTTGTATAATCATTTTAAGATCCATTCATTAACAATAACTATAACTTAGGTTACGGTTTACTTAGCTTAAGCAACTAAGAAACTGATAATCATAAAAACACTTAAATAAACAGATGAAATAAATTTCTGTTTAGTACTTAAAATTAGACTTTATTAAAATTACGAAGCTATGGATGTATTAAAAAGAAATCCCACTAATTAATCTTCATAAAAACAGATAAGCGAAAAAGTATGCTACATTTTATGTTTGATCAGTGATATCTCGAAACTATCTAATTTAATGAGGGAAGTATTGCTCTTTAAAACCTTTTTCTCGATTATTAAACTCACATTCCCATTTACGAAAGAAGCGAATATTTATTTGTTTTTCAATTTAGTTAACCGATAAAAACATAAATAGTTATCATGAGTTCTATATGTGACTTCAATATCAAAAGCTGAGGAACATAATACCAACCTTATGTATTTTAGGAATTTTGTTCTTGTAACATCGAGACATTCGATGATATCGATATTATGGAAAACTAATTCATAAAAATCGATTTAATCCCTTTTTTCACTGTGCAAAGGAACTTAGGTTTGGTAGGTGGGCTGGCCTTGATATTGTCAACGACATGACTTCACCCAAAACAACAACAACCGCACTGAGAGCAAAAAATTTAAAAATACAATATCAAAAGAGGGAGATGGCCCGAAGGAAAGGGAAAGAGAGGGCTATAGAGCGTCACGCTTGGGACTTGGGGGCGCTATTTATACATTTTTCCTCTTGTGATCTGCTTTTTGTTTATTTGCGCGCCTAAAAACGTTCACAGATTCTGTTCAGCCCCTCAGATCCCCCCTTTTGGGTTGCCAGCAAAACTCGAACCAACTCGCTGCGATTCGAATCGCGGCTGTACTCGAATCTGCAATCTGCATTCCCTTCATCTATATGCTATATGCTATAGACTATTGCTATCCTGCTCTCGCCTGGGAGATATAGCTCAAGTGCAGTGCCCTTGACTTAGGTCAATAACACGATTTGTTGTCGTTGTTCAGGTTCTTTGGCTAGCATTTAGGTTTGGTAATATGTGTATGTCGTTTGGTGAGCTAAGTGGGCTTAGTTTCTACTTTCATAATTTGGTATTGCAGATTTAAATGCAGTTAGAAAAACAATAATATAAGGTAAACTTTATATTTATTTATTTATTTATCTAAAGGTAACACTTAGTTCTAAACTTATGTTGAAGTAAGAACCATAGCAGCCTAAGGCCTAACCTTAGGCTCGATGGCATACTGTAATACTTTAACTTTGTACAGTTAGGCTATTTGCATGTTGCTAACAAAATACAAATAGTGGATACTATCGATTATATTGGTGATCGAGAGTAGTGCACCATCGATACGATCGAATCATTAACTACTAACGATCATGATTATTAATCAAAAACAAATTGGATCTCATTTTTAAAAGCTTTAAAAACTTCATTTTTGAGTCCTAATACCTTTAAAAATTAAAAAGAAATACTTAAAATTAATATTAAAGCAAGTTCAGAATTGACGTTGAACCTTCCACGAATTGTTGAGTCTTATGAAGAAAACGTGTTTGTTGCAACAACAAAATAATATAATTTACTTAAAAGTGCCAAAAATAAAAGAATATAGCAATACCATCCATGGATGGCATAACCCATTTTACAGTTTACAAGTTATTATCATACGAGGTGTGTTCAAAAAGTAAGGTGACTCTTCAAATTTCGCGAATTTCAAATTTTTCGATTATCGAAACCTTTTAGAAGTTATACGAGTTGTGTTCAAAAAGTAAGGTGACTTTTCAAATTTCAAATTTTTCAAATTTTTCGATTATCTTCAGTTTTGGGAACAAGAAAAAGTCACATGGGGCCAAATCCGGTGAATATGGTGGCTGAGGCATTATTGTGGTGTTGTTTTTGGCCAAAAAATCCAAATCCTTTGATCCATATTTTTCGATAGCAAAAAATCGCCGAGCTCGCAAAACAACTTGTAACTTTACGCCTCTCACAACCAAACAAAAGAGGATGTTCCATTGAAACTTGGTACAGATGTTAGGGAAGAGTGTACCAATATAACAAAACAAAAAAATCGATAATCGAAAAATTTGAAATTCGCGAAATTTGAAGAGTCACCTTACTTTTTGAACACACCTCGTATATAGTATTGTTCTCCCAACCTACTTTTTGAGGAATAACTAGATATATATTTGTTATATGGTGCTATGTCTACAATCCTAATCAATTAACTCCAAGAGACTTTCTCTATAACATTAATGATTGGCAGCAATATCAATGCATTTAAAATGTAAACTAACCACTTAGCCTTTTTAGTCCCCAATGGCAGACATTTGTTTATTTCAATTATCTACTAATTCAGAACAACAACTTAAACTCGAATCCATTTGTTGATTAAGCGTATAAACTAATCAGAGTTATTTGCATATTGTTAAATAGTATCCCTAACTAAGTTTAGTACCCCAGTCACCGGGCCATATCGATTGACTTTGAGTGCAGACCACTCTGGAAACCCACTGATATCGGGGCCAGCCAGGACCCTATTAACCCAAACAAATATCCAAAGTATCCGCACACGTCGCCACTTAAATGGCTCATCCTTGGACATGCCATTGGCACTTGACAGTGACCTTACAAGCGCCGAACGTGGCACCACCCAGGGGTGGCCATCACCACCCCCAATTGAAGCACAACGGGTGCCCTTCATTGGACTGCAACTGCTGCTGCATAACCTTTGCCTTGCATTTGGAGGCGATGCGCATGAACCTGACATTGAACGTGATGGCAATGAAATTTTCTTACCCACTTCCGAGAGCGAAAGAGAGAGAGAGAGTGAGTGTGCGGCGAAAGCGTGAAAGAGAGAGAGAGCCAATATGGGGGTTTACCGTGCTAAAAGAAGGGAATTTAGAATTTACCCATTCCGCAGGTAAATGTGGGGGCCAGCATTTTTGATGGCTTTTCCACTATACATTGTTGCTTTGCCGGGCTTTGCAGTTCGGAATGGTTAGGGGCTGGGCCATCCGGGGTTATAGCGTGGGCCACCGACGTTTGTGTGACGGAGGTCAGGTCAGGGCCAAGGCACTTGACATTTCTCCCCTTGCCACAAGCTCATAAATATTCCGGTTCCCTAGACTTTTCCCTACTTATATGGGTTAGTGTGTCAGGCGAAAGTTTTATTGGATATTTCTTATAAACAACATGGGATCGTTTAATACTGAGACTACGAGGTGTCATTGACCCATATGTACCAAGGAAACCAATAAATCGGATCTGATTACAATAAGTTTTCTAGGTAACATAGCGATATTTACTCAGTTTTAACTAGGAATACTTTTATTTGTTTACATTTTGTAGTTCCAGTCGTTGCTGGAAAATAAGGTTTGCTATTTCACTGGAAATGATTCTTTTTTTATAAACTCATTAAGGTTCTTTGTCTTGCTTACTCTGTTCAGATGTCCTATCACCATGAACATTACCGACCAATTACTATAACTATCAACTAATTTTCTATCATTACAATAATTTTGCCCTTTCCTTTAACCCAGCACAGCCAATCAAACCCCATTAGGACCCCACTTAATTGCTGATTCAGAAGGGTTCGTTGGACTCCCTTATTTGTCTTGTACATATCTTAATTGAACGATCATCGATGAGCTTAAGAGTTATCCGTTCGTAACTTTTTCGGTATCGAATTGCATTATTAATAAACTCGGCCAAGTGACAGCAAAACTTTTGCCTTTCCTAATGCAATTGCGCTGAACTAACTTTCCGAGAAGTGAAGAGTTGGGAAAGTAATCGGGAAAAGCAATGCAAAATGTGTTCATAACACAAAATTAAATTACGATGGCTGCTCTCACGTAACAGAAAGGTTCGAACTGCGTTTACTCACTTGCTCTCTCTCTCTCTCTCTCTTCTTAACAC